TTAAGCCCAGCTTAACGTTTCTTTCGCATCATACAATACATATGCATAAGCATTCAGCGCACAAATATGTACGAGTATTTTTTTGTATACTGGTTCAATATATAAAGTGTAATGAATTATTTTTAAACGTGTTACATTCATACATATACATACATATGTATATGATACTGGAATTGATGCCGCGATACATACGTTGTGTTGATCTGCATTAAGAAAGGAAAATGCAGGAGGATTTTGTTTAAAGATTATATCAACACTTATGCGCATGTGGACCAGTGGAATTTTCTCTTTGAACATTTTTCCATACGTGGAAAATCGTTTGTATGGGAGATATATTAGTATACATACATATATGTATGTATATTCGATTCTTTCTATTGGTACAATCAAATGTCTAGTTTGAATATAGACAGACTGGAGTGTTAAACTCATTCATCTCCATGTCCATAATGTATCCTGGGTGTATGTAACTAAAGTACGTCTGCCCACACGTGTTATGTTAGAATTGTTTAATGACTTTTCATCTGGCATCTATGAAAACTTCGAATTGGATATAGTATATAAGATGCTAAATAAGTTTAACTGCGTTGGGGTCTGTTAATAGATTATATTATTTTTGGAAAAATGAGTAGTGATCAGTATAAGAAACGTTTTGGAGCAGCCTTTCTAACGAAGTGTATTCTAAAGGTCCCAAATGGACTATTAAAAAACTGCAAAGTATTTAAATACGTGTTGTATATTTATGAAGAGGTGGCTTATGGAGAAACTGGAAACGTAGATAACGGGATGAATGACGGGAAATTTTAAATGGAGCACAAAGCTATTTCTGCTTTAACTTGAGGACAAAGCTATGCTTCTTCTTTTTAAGAAGAAACCACTTTGCAATACTTAAAGACGAGTCAACTTTTGTATACTTCAATCCCTTGATACGCGTTAGGCTAAGAAAATACAATCATTTATTCAAAAAAGTGTTCAGCACCCTCAAAAGGTGCTTGTTTATGGATGCTTCTCTGCTAATGAAATTGGAGTTTTTACGGAAAATCTGAACGCAGTCAGCTGAAATGCTTTACGGCAAAAATAACCATGAGTGGATATTGCAAGAATACAATGATTCGAGGTATAGAAGCAGCGTCTGTACTCAATAGAAACCAGAAAACCATACTGTTACTTTAGATTTGCCATCACAGTAATCACACGAAAATCCAATAGAGAATGTTTGGGTTTTAATGAAAGGCAAAATATCAAGAAAACATTTAACGCCAAAAAAAGATTTCATTCGGCTACTACAACATACCTGAAGTTCGCTTCCTGTGGAATATACGGAAAATTTAGTTTCAAGTTGCCATCAAAATTTTCAAACTATTATAAACATTACTGGAGATTATAGCAAGTATTGAATAAATGTCAGCTATAACGAAACAATGTATTTTCTTTAATTACAACATTTTCATACTTTAAGGAGTTTTTAGAAATAATGCCAAAGTCGGCTCTGAACTGAAATTTATTTATTGAATTCCAAACAAATTTGGTAAATTCTTAGATTTAGTATGTGTTGATACCGTTAGTTATAGTTATAGTGTTCCGTTATTCAGAGCAGTCCTCTTGTTCTACCAGAAGACTCGTATCATTCTGCATTGGAAATGTCTGAAATCATGCGCAATGTACTCTTGTTCTACCAGAAGACTCGTATCATTCTGCATTGGAAATGTCTGAAATCATGCGCAATGTACTGGATAATAGTCATCAATCATACTTCTATCTTTTGTACACGGTATAACTTTGCAATAACTAACTTTAAAAAGTTAATAAGGAAACTTTCTGCTTTAACTTGGCCTGATTACAATGGAGATATTGAATTTAGAATCTCGTATTTTAATAAAACTATTACGCTTTTATTTGAAAAATATGTTACTAATTGGTGATAAAAGTATATGTACAAATACTTGGTTCCCGAAAGAGTTATATAAATTAACAAGTAAGGAAGGGCTAAGTTCCAGTGTATTCGATCATTTCATATTCTTGCAACTTGAAAGGAACAAAGGTGGAGGAACACCTTCAGGTTTTGGCCAAACTTTATATCAAACTAAAAAAGTATCGCCGTGATTTCATCCAGAAAAGATACACTGTTATTAGAAAGATATTTCGGAATTTCAATAAGATTTCTTGCATTCTGACCGATGATGCGGTATAAAGTCAATCGGAAGTTCGAAAATATTTATATTAGGTATATGGGGCTAAGGGTATAATTTACCAGATTTTACCCATTTTTGGCACATGGACATACCACAATAATATTATATTATTGTCACAAAAATATTATTCCCGAATTTCAATACTAGAACTTACAGACTGACTGATATGCTCGGCAAAAAATAAACCATATGCACTGGTGTCCGATTTCGATAGCTTTTGGAAGACACTATTTGAGCAAAGTTTTACTCTAATAACTTCATTGATGCTTGATCTGTATACTGTGAAGTGAAAGAATCATAAGGAATTTAAAAGTTTGTTATATAGGAAGTAGGCGTGGTTGTCAACCGATTTCGCCCATTTCTATAGTTTACAATAATAATAATTGGATAACTTCACACACAATTTGGTTGGAATTGGTCAAATAGTTACTAAGATATAGGAATTCACCTAAAAGCGGGCATTACCACGGCCATTGTCCAACTTTTACACCGGCTCTCATAAATCTCCCTGCCATCCTGGTTGTGAAATTTAATATTTGAAGCTCTTTTATTCAGTTAGTTCTCACACGTTTAGTAGTTTTCTACATAACCGTTTTATGGGAAGTGGGCGTATTTATTATCTGATCCCATCACAGTGTATAGTGAAGAGATGCTGAAGATACTTCTTCTCAGTAAGTTTGATTGAGTAAGCTTCAGTAGTTTAAAAGATATGTATATTTAAACATTTAGAGAGTGGGGCCACGGCACTTTAAAAAAAATGTTTAGTTCACACGTGCCTTTCACCACTGCTTTCCCCTGTACTAAATCAAAAAACACTTTTTTTCTTAATTATAAGCTTAGTTATGACATTTTTCGTTTAACGGAGTTTTGAAGGCGTGGCAGTGGTCTGATTACGCTCATCTATAATACGAATTCTTATTGGATGCCAAGGAACATATGTACAAAAACCGTTAGGTGAAAAAAATTGTTATACTCTGTGCAACATGTTGCGAGAGTATTACAAATATATTTGATTGAATATTTATAAATAAATTTAATCTTTTATAAATGTAATATATTAAACAATATATAAAATTGTTATATTAATTAAATTCCTATTCATTAATTTCATTTTTTTCATTCTGTAATTTAATAATTATTTCAATTATAGATTTTTTTTAGTTATTAATAGTTTATTTAGTATTATTATATCACTAGAATTATTTTGAAATAAATTTACAAAATAAAATTTGTGAAATAAGGGGGTCTATTTTATATACTAAATATTATTATATAATTGTATTTATAGTTGGCGAGTTACTTAATAAAAAGTTTTTATTTATTAATAGAGGATGGTTCACGAATCGTGCTACAAAAGCAAGCCGTAATAACTTTTTTTCTGTGTGAGTAATCCACTTACGTTTTTTTTATTTGGCAGGCTTTTATTTAAGTTTTTAAAAATGACTGCTTGGGATACCGAAAGCAGGTTTGGATAGTCCAGCGGTACCATGCCGGCAAATTCAAGAGTTTTAACTCGCAACTTATCGGCGCAATTAGGAGTTAGCAGACGGTCATTACAACGGATAATTCATGATGATTTAAACCTGCTTCCGTACAAAGTTCAAATAACAAGCCGGTTAAACCCTCTAGATTTGCCTATTCACCACGAATTTTGCCAAAAAAGGATTAAAATGGCCGAAGAAGACAATAACTTGATAAATTGTTTGCTTATGTCTAAAGAGACCCATTTTGATCTAAACGGAAATCTAAACAAACAGAATTGCCGTATATTGAGTGAATAAAATCGAGAAATAATTCACTAGACAGAACGAGTCACTGTTCGGTGCGCAGTTTCATCAAGGTGTATTGTTAGGCCATACTTCTTTGAAGAAAACGGTGTAACAGGAACTGTCAATGGACGCCGTTATTTAAAGATGTTGAATACGTTCTTTTACCCAGAACTGTGTCGAAGATGTATCCCTTTCAATAGCGTTTGGTTCCAGCAAGATGGAATAACTGCACACATAACCAAACCGATTATTGCGGAGCTCCAACGTAAATTTGAAAACAAATTAATATCAAGAAATTCCACTTTCCGCTGGGCCCCAAGGGCACCTTACTTGACTGCACCAGACTTTTTTATGGGGATATGTCAAGCATAAGGGCTAAAAAACATAACCCAGAAAGCTGACTGAATTGAAGCAGTCTATTAAATCGATAATAAAAATTAATTAGGTGTCGCATATACATACGTGGCTGAGCATGGAGGTCATTTGCGGTCCAAAATGTTTAAAAATTATATAAAATAAAATGTAATTCGATATACATTAAAAAAAATAAAAGTAATGCATTGAATTATTTTATATGTAAGTTTTTGCGTGTATTTTTGTTTATTTTAGTAATAACTGAAATTTAATTATAGCTTCAGTTAATCAATGAAACTTGGAAATAGTAAATTCATAGAGTATTAACTAAATTTGTGCCAGCAGCCGCGGTTACACAAATAATGCAAATAAAATTTGTTCAGTGTAAGTTAAAATAATATTGAATTTATTTGGTGAAATTTTTATAATATTTTAAGGTTTTGAAGCTTGTAAATTTACGATATAAACTAGGATTAGATCCTATTATTTAAAATATAACTGTAAGCACTAAGAAGTGGTGATTATGTTCTTACAAATTAAAAAAAATGGCATTTAGAAGAACCTGTCCTGTATTTCCGTTAAAAAGTTAGCACCAGCTAACCATATTCGGTAACTGGGGGGTTTAACAGTTATGGTCTGATTTTGATTTTGAATTTTTATGAAATTTTGAATTGAGATGGTGTACCTGTTCTTTGGTGCTTGATTTGTAAACTGGAAATGGCTTAATGGGAAGTAGGCGTGATTGTAGTCCGGTTTCGCCCATTTGTAACATAGGATCGTCAGGATAATGTTATATACCGAATTGGTCAAGTAGTTCCGGAAATATGTGATTCACATAATTGAGGGCAGTACCATGCCCATCGGCTCCTGTAACATCCTGGATGTAAAGTTTAATGTCTCTGGCGCATTCAGTTATTGATTTATCGCACTTTTAGTAGTTTTTAACAAAACCGTTAAATGGGGAGGGGCCAGGTTATCATCCGATTTCATTCATTTTCACACTGTCGAAGGAAGAGTCAAAAATATGTATTCTATATTCTTGTAAGATGGCGGGTACATGGGCACTTTAAACAATTTTTTTCAATCATAGATGGCTCTCCCCAATGCAATTCCCCGTACCAACTTACAGGTTTATACCTTAATTAAGGCTCAGTTATGGCATTTTATGTGTTTTCGATTAATGACGGTTTGTGGGCATCGCAGTGGTCCGATTATGCTCATCTATAATACCAAAGTTCTTATGGTGGTTATATGGAACATGTGTACCATGTTTCATCAAGATATCTTAATTTTTATTCAATATTCTGCATTGCGTTGGCAGTATTCAGACCTACAAAAAACAATATAACATTTACATAAATAAAGTAAAGAATCCGAAGTCTGAATACTTCAACTAACGCTCCAGCTATTTCTGTTGTATATGTATGCCTTATTAATTTAAATAAATCTTTTAATTAATTAATCAAATATACATATCTACTTGCCTTTGAAAAGGATATTTAATTTCTCACTTAAATAAGGAATATTTCCATTAATATGTAAACAGTCATTTATATAAGCATAAAAGTGGATTTAGGTCATATATTGAAAACTTTAGGAGTAATGCAAAACTATCAGCAATACCTAAACTTTTTAAGCTAACATCGCAGACCAATTAACTTTATCGATTTCTTCATAAATTTTTTGTCCTCATACATTCTGTACATAAACTTGATCTTCTTAGCTTTCATCCAAGATTTCTTCAATGGACATTCTTATATTTATATTAGAACACAACGAGTGATATTTATGATACTCTTTTAGATGCAATTAAACAATTTGGTTGCTTGTTGTGATAGAAATGGATCAACGTTATCTCAAAATCGTAATGTAAATTTCAAAAAATTTAAACGATGTGCTTTTCCCGTAGATTTGTGCACTCCTCTCCCTATGTACTAAAAAACTATAGACCAGAGCAAGTTTTTAACTTTGCTGATTTGGGATTTACTATGGGCCCTAAACTTAATTTTATTCTTCATATTGATACCACGGTTTTGAAAGCAAAAGGTATTCTTTGTTTTGTTAAACGCTGGTCTAAAAAATTTAGAGATCCGTACGTTACTAACATATTTTTTTATACAACTTTGGTTAGGCCTATATTGGAATTTGGCCTGAGTGGAACAGTTTGCAGTTCTTTTCTCTTGTCTGTTCTTTACTGTTAAAATCTTGTAGATCATATAATATTTTGAACTTAACGAACCTTTATTTAATTTATCTGACTCACTTTTTAAAATGTAAAAGACTATATTGCTTTGTCTTTATAAATAAAATTGTAACAATTTATTATAACATAATTTTAAATCTTAGCTGTTGAGAGGAGGGTAATCGTTGGGTTATTATATTGTATTATATTTACGAAAACGAAAACCAATAGCTGCGAAATGCAAAGAGAAATTGTCAGTTATGTACTTTTTGAACAATATTCATTTAAAACATAGTCAACATAAGTAAGAAAGGACTATTTAAGTTCGGGTGTAACCAAACAATTTTGTAAAGATCAGAGTTGGGAAATTCTTTCAGGTGTTGAAAAATTTTTTATTAGAAAATGTTCCGTAAGAATTTTTCATTTTGCTTGTCTGCAATATTTATAATTCAAATATTCATTATCCAAGTAGAGGTGCGTTCTTCAATAGCCTTTTTTTGACAGATCACACTTAAGTCGAGTCAAGCTTTCATGTTATTTTTGTTCAGTATTGTTTGGTATTTCATCATGGAAAGACTTACGTCTGAACATCGTTTAAAAATCGTTCAACTTTATTACGAAAATTCACGTTCTTTGAGAATATGTTTCGCGTGCTTCGCTCAACTTATGGTCAACGTAATCGGCCTACTGCCATCACCATCACCCATCTTGAGACCCAGCTTTCATGATTGGAAAATATTTTACCGAATAGACAACGTCCAGCACGTAGTGAATAGAATATAGCGGCCATAGCTAAGACTGTACACGAAGACCGTAGAGAGTAGAGTTTGCAGCAACTCGGACTGACGTATGCAACGACTTGGCGCATTTTACGTCGAGGTGTTAAATTGAAAGCGTACAAAATACAGCTTGTACGAGAACCTAAGCCGCTCGACCTTGCCAAGCGACATCGCTTCGCTCTAGATTCAAGAGCTGCCATTTTATCCATATAACCGTCAATGGCGACCATTATCGCGCATTGATAACCGATTATTTGATGCCTGAAATTGAAGCTCGTGATCTTGGGGACATTTGGTTTTAACAAGACGGCGCCACTTCCCATACATCGCATCAATCAATGGATTTATTGAGAGAACACTTCGATGAGTAGATAATTTCACATTTGGTGCCGGTCGATTGGACTTTTGCCTAGGGATGTGTCTAAGGTCTATGCGGAAAATCCCACTTCGATGCAGGCCTTGGAGCAAAACATCACGCGAGTCATCGAAAATTGGACTCAACGGATGGACCATCTGAGACGTAGCCGCGGCCAATATTTAAAAGATATACTCTTCAAAAAATAAATGTCAAAGAATGTTCTTTCGTATGATAATAACCATTCCCCATTAAATCTGAATTTTCTGTGTTTTTTTCTTTAGAAAAGTAAGGAACCTCGAAATGAATCACCCTATATTAAAATCAAACTAATTAACTCAAATGAGATATTTTTATATGATATAATATAAACTTAATCAAAGGGGTTACATTTAATGTATGGAATATAAGAGAAAAGAGTATATGAGGTTCAGACCATCTAGACCAATTTCATTCATATTCACGCTAAACCACATAATTTTTATGAAAAATTATCTACTTTATTTCACTAAAATATCACACATATTGACCAACATAAACGCTGTAAGTCAGATGGAAAGTAAAAATTAGTCTAAATCACTATATTTCGTATATTGGGGCTAAGGGAACCTCTAACTGATTGCATTAACGTTGGACATCACTCTAGGATCGAGAGCATGTTTTCACCCAATTTCGTGAAGTTAATCCACACACTGACTGGCATATTTTGCATTAAATTTTGCTAGAGCAACATAAATCATTATATGAGGTAATTCGTGGACCGGTTTCACACATTTTTAGCATTAAATTTAAGTATATTAAATATTATACGTTTACTTAATTTTGTTACGATATCATACATATTGATCATAATACACGGTGTAAAACCAACCGGAAGTTATAAACTTTAATATAGGGATATGTGACCTAAGGAATATGTTGACCCGATTTTATCCAGTTTGGTATTGCGTAGGATGAAATACTTAGAAGGCAGTATTTGTGGCTCTCGATTTATATACTGTAAATTGAAAGAATCAGATGAATTTAAAATTGTTATATATGATTGTAGTCCGATCACCGTAATATAGGAACGTGAAAAAATTGGTACACACCAAATTTGGTTAAAATTGGTTTAGTAATTCCTAAGATATTGAATTTCACATAGAGGTAGGCGTGGCCAAGGTCATTGTTCAACTTTGATATGCGATGATATGAAGCCCATCCGTATCATATAGGATGTGAAATTTTATACTTCTGACGTATTTAGTTAGTGAGGTATCGCACTAGTAGTATTTCGACATATTATTGACAGCTCAATTAACCTGAATTTTTCTGTGTTCGAATCGTGTTGTTTTGTCAGTGTGAGCTCGTACGATAAATCATAATAAAAAATGATAACTTTATTGTAAATTTTAAAAGGGCAACTAAATCGACAGAAAACATATGTATTTACATAGTTAAGTATAGATATGTACATTAGGGTGGGTAAAAAACCGAATTTTTTCGCTTGGTACTCCGAAAAATTGGTTGGTAGACACCTCTAAGAAACGCTCTCCAGCTTTTAATTGTAACCATAATTGGTCTCTTTTTTAAAACGCTTTTATTAGCTTCTTCTGGATGTTTGTAACTTCTGTCTGTGCAAGCGATAACTTGAGTAAAAATTGAGTATGAAACTTGCTTCATTTACACCTAAGAGAGGTCGGCATTGCAGATGGACGTAATAGGATCACTGCCACGCCATTAAACGAAAACGTAAAAAAAAGGCCATAACTAAGCACTAAACTTAGATACCGAATTTTTTTTTGGTACAGGGGATCACGGTACTAAAATAAAGCTGCTGGCTCCGAGCTCATAATCGTCTAATCTACATATCTTCCAAATTTGCTGAGAGGAAGTCTTTGTAGTACTTCTTACTACACTGTGAAAAGCGGTAAAATCAGATTATAACCACGCCCACTCTCCACATAACGGTTATGTTTAAAACTTCTAAAAATGCGATAACTCACTGAATAAAGGCGCCACAAATATTAAATTTCACAGACAGGATGGTGCAGAAGAGTTTTACAGGAGTAGGTATAAAAATTGAACAACGGGCGTGGCACCGCCCACCAATAGGAGAAATCTTATATGTATCTCAGGAACCACCTGATCAATTTTAACTAAATTTAGTATGTGGTTACTCATCCATTTCTACCACACACAGTTTGATAGGCCCTGCAAAAAAAAATAACCTTAAAACTATGCAGCTAAATGCTTAAAGCATCCTAAAACTAATCGAGATAGATATAGAGTTATATATGTATATAAATGATCAAGATGACGAGACGAGTTGAAGTCCGGGTGACTGTCTGTCTCTCTATCCGTCCGTGCAAGCTGAAACTTCAGTAAAAATTAAGATAGCTTGATGAAACTTATTATACATGTTCCTAGCCACTATAAGAAGTATTGTATTGTATTTTTTGTGGGTGTAATCGGACCACTGCCACGCCCACAATATGCTATTAATAGAAAACTTATAAACGGCCAAATAATTCAATCTTTATCAACCAAATATGCACAGAATAAATTATTTCGACACATCTTGCGACATTGTTAAAATAGGTGAAATCGGATTATAACCTCACACACTCGGGATGGTACAAGGGAGTTTTATAGAATCCAAAGAGAAAATTGGACGATGAGCATGGCGCCGCCCACATTTAGGTGAAATCACGTATCTCCGGAATCAATTTATCAACCGAATTCGGTAACTAACACTATCCTGACATTCCTATGTCACAATGTGAAAGTTAGCGAATTCAGACTATAACCACGCCTCCGTTCCATATAACACAATAGAAGTTCGGAGAGAATGTTTTTCTGATAATAGCGCAAATTGGAAGGTTATAAAATTTTCGGTTACATCCGAACTTAGCAAGTCCTTACATGTGTTAATTATATAATTTTGCGCCAATCTTAGCGATCAATCGTTCACATAAATTTCTTTTACTTTCATACCTTATTTAGTAAGAGATCTACAGTCTCACGAAATTAAC